ACATATTGCTTATTAAAGATGGGCAAAACATGGATGGGCTATATCTGGAAACACTCCATGCACAGTATGGGGTTTGAGTGTACATTAAAAATAAGGTTCAGGTTACAGAAAGTACGGATGAAGCATTAAGAATTGGGTGAATTATAGAGAATAAAAACCTCCACAGGCCTTCATAGTGACTGCTTCTTAACACAGTTTGCAAAGCCTCCACCAAGCGGCTTCCGCTTATTGACCTGGTTTTCACAAACAGGGGCAGAACAGGGAACCAATAGGCTTGCAATTCCTATGAGTGTTTTCTTATTTAAGAAGAAATATAACTGGAAGGGTACAACAAGAATGTGAAGAACACTAAAATGCAAAAAAGGGTTCCCAAACAGAAGACTGGAAACAGGTAACTGACAATCTGGAGACTGAGCCGGAGATCCGGTGATTGCTGAGGACCTGAGCAGCTGGACCAGGCTGAGGGGACGTCCACGTAACACCTGGCTGCGGCAGATGGACGGCCATTTCTGGAGGGTGGGACTGGACCGTGTGTCTGCCAGGGGGGGTCGCCGGCCGAGATCCCAAGGAGCTTCGCCATGTGGTGGGTGCAGCAGCACACTACATCAGCGCGTGCCCCCCAACCTGACCTAACCTGACCTGAGAAGCTGGTAGAGAGTGAATGGCTGGTTATTGTTGCAATAATATTTTCTTTTAATGTAAATAGAGGCATTGTGTTTAAGGTGTAAGCTAATCTACAAGCAACCATCTCAAGAACCTGATAGAATGTATTATACTTGACAAAGTTTCAAATAAAAAACTCTGAAATAGGGATCTTCAAACTACGGCCTGCTTCCTTCATTTGACTGGCAGTGCATATACAGTAATACAGCCCACTACACATCTTTTCTAATAACATGCATAGCTACGTAATGAAAAACATAACAAACTTTCAATGATGGCTACATAATCATGTAAATGCATATGCGCTACGCAAGTCCAGCAAATTGATAGCAGCTCCCTGACACCTCCATAAATAATAAGCAATGTCAAGGAAATCTGTTGTTCTGGGGCGGGTAATTTTACCACTACATAATAGAAAAATTATCCGCCCCAGAACAATAGATTTCCTTGACATTGCTTCATCTGGTCCGGCAAAGGTTACCACCAGCCCCCCCTCCAATCGACAAATCTTACGGCCTAACCTTTCTCCCACAATCCGGTCCCTTGAAAGTTTGAATGACAGTGAACTGGCCCTTTGGATAAAAGTTTGAGGACCCCAGTACTAAAAGGATCCAATGTACTAGTGGTTCTATGTTAAAGTTGCTCATTTAAAGAATACCTCATGGCATAACAAATTGGTTAATTAACTTAATTATATACATTATCAGATGACACAAAAGTAGCTGGTGTAACAGACACCAAATATGCAGCTGCATGCAATTATGAGGCTGGCAGACACTTAGAAGATGCCATTGACCAAATATAAATGTGAAGTGAATAATTCAGAACCAAGGAATGTAAACTGTAAATACTCGTATTCGACCCGGTACAGATCTTTTGGTTCGGTATGCATATGTACCAAACAAATGCAGCAAATGTGGAACCTTTATGTGTTTGTGTGTTTCCCCCGAGCGACATTCGGAAAGGGGCGGATGAAGCCGCGCCACTATTCATGCGTAAGTACGTCCTAATGTGACCCTGGAAGTTGTTAATGCACTAAATTTTCTACTTTCAAAAGACTATGAAAACTCATCTCTTTTTACTGGCTTTCCATACATCACCCTGAAACTCTCATCATTGAAAGATTAGTTTTTTCTTTTACGCTGTGATTTGTTCTTATTTTATTTTTAACTGTATTTCGGTATGAACTTACTTCACTGTTTCTTTGTGGGGCATGTTCTTGATTATTATTGTATTTATTGTTTAATTAGTGATTTTATTTTATTTCATGTACGGTACGTGTCCTAGGGTGACCTGAAAGGCGCCTTATAAATAAAATGTATTATTTATTATTATTAATAATGTGAATACAAGTACAGCATGGGTATTTTTTAAATGCAGCACCAAAATGGATATTTATTTTGTTATGCTTTGTATCTTTTGAGACAATATTTACGTTGCACTGTTCCAATATGAAGCTGAAAGCTGCTAATGTGAATACAGTACAGATCATGTGCAGGTAATTTTCCAAATGTGCATCTTCATGGATATTTATTTTGATTTACTTTTAAGTAAATTTTAGTTTTTTATTATTAGGTTGCAGAAGTATTGATAAAGACTTTTATATAAGAAAGACAGTCAAACTTTGTTAAGTAAACCACTGTTTAATAAACAAAAAAAGAAGTAATATATATTTAGTTTCTTTTACCCCGGCTGTACTGAAAATGTACTAAATCATGGCTTAAAATCCGAGGTACATACTGAACCATGATTCTTGTGTTCTGGTACGCTCCTAGTAAATACTACATGAGAGGCAGACCAGGTCAAAGCCCATGTGGAGCATCACCGTGAGCTATCAATGAAGCAGTGAGCAAATGAGATCCTTCTTTTAATGGATTCAGAAAGGAAGTCAAACTGTAAAAAGCATTTTTACGGATCAACCTTGAATAATCTGTAAAAACCATGGTGACTAATCCTCACAGAATGCTCAGGTAAACCAGATGAAAATGTTTCTTTGTTCCAGGTACAGGTCAGAAGGTCTAAATCCCTTTACCCATACTGTAAGCAAAGGCGATGGAAAGGGAATACGATCCAAAAACAGTGGTACCTCAGTTCTCAAACTCATTAGAACTCAAACTTTCTTAAAAGTCGAACTAACCAGTTCGAAAAAAAATTACCTAGAACTCAATCTGAATCTCAGAAGTCAAACCGTAAACGCCGACCTAAGATGTACGCGCGGGGAAATGAGTCACGCGGCACGTCTCTCAGTGGAAACAGTGGTAATGCTTCAGTCTCAGCCTCGCATTTGCTGTGATAGCATCGTGCATGTTTACACTAGCTGAATACATATATTTCGACAGTAAAAATACATTTAGACAATGAAAGACAGTAACTAACAGTAATTATTATTTTATTATTATATAATAAAAATAAAGATTTCTTATTAATTATTTTAATATTAATAATAAACCATTAATACATTTAATTACAATAATATTGTGTCCCAAGCGGGGACAGATTAAGTTCAAGTTCTGAGGTACCACTGTACACAAAATCTTGAACCCAGATGGTGGCTGTTAGCACTGATTCAATAACCCTCTGGTCACAAATGAAAATTAGGAACTACAAATGAAAACTTGGAACTAGGGACTTGTTTAAATTATAATAAAGTTAATATTTATTCACACAAAGGACACCAGGGGTTTTAAATGAAGTTCTTTCTCATGTATTTGAAGAATCTTGGAGTCATTCAGGTCAGGGCTAGACACAATTTTACAATTGCATATATATGCAAATATTGAAATTACCCAGACTGTCTAAATGGCTTCCTCTTGTTTCAGTTTTATGTTGCTTCTTGTAGCATAACAAGAATATAAATGAAGTACAACTTTTTGCTAATGTAAAAATATAGACATCGTATGCCATTATATTTCATTCATTTGCAGCTACCAAACACATGAAAATATTAAGTAATAGAAAACATGACATGTACTTTTGTACACTTAAATCAAGCTTATATCAAGAATAAGCAATAAGTATTAGCTTCATGATCAATCAGTGTGTGCTCTGTGGTGCCTAGTGTACACGACATACACTGACCTAGTGTATGTATGAAGTGTATGTATGTGCATGAAAATACAGGACAAATTGCATCCCGCATTGGATCAAAACCGGAGCATTTCATAATCTACCCGGAAACATGCAATGCATTCAGCGTCGGTCAACTGAATACATTAAGACAAGCGTTGAATATCCTGGTCATCTGTCTCACTCTCACAGGAGTAAATGCAAAGTAAAAGCACAGCGGCTAAGAATTGCAAGGACACACTACTTCCACTGAATCAATTTTTTCTACTCAATTTAATATTTTTTTTGCCTCATTGATTCACCGACTTGGTGTCTCAACAAGGCGGATATCATTTGAATCTAGTCTAGTGGTAAAATTTGTATATAGTAATGTTTTTGTATATACTATTGTGTTATATAATTTGTATTTAATTATATAATTATTCACATGCATTTTGGATTGCAACATTTATTTTTTAAATGTATAAGAAATGTAAAAAGTTTAATTTTGTTACACGTTCGACTTTTGCATTTGGCTATGCAGAGACATGTGACAATATAGCACTTCAGAGTGTGTAGTGAAAAAGCACTTAAGTCAGTGGCAGAATGCGCTTAACAGTGATTTACATGTGACATACCCATATTTTATTTGTTTCACTGCACAAAGTGTAAATCTAGCCTAAGTACAACTAAGTCTATAGGAGAATATGCGTAAGTGAAAGAAGCACACAGCTACTTGCTGGGCTTCTACTTTTCATTTTAACTTTAGACAACAGACATTATTGAAATTAAGAACATAAGAACATGAGAAATTTACAAATGAGAGGCTCGTTTGGGGAGAACTTAACTAATAGCTCAGAGTTGTTAAAATCTTATCTAGCTCTGATTTAAAGGAACCCAGGGTTTTAGCTTCCGCTACACTAGCACTATACTATTCCATACTCTAACAACACGCTGTGTAAAGAAGTGCTTCCTTAAATTTGTTTTAAAATGTTCTACCACTAATTTCCACTTATGGCCACGAGTTCTAGTATTTAATCAAATGGCATCATTTTATAGCATATAATAGCAAATATTAATTCAATTTAGCTTCCCATTTAAAAAATTAGATATAGCAGTATAATCAAATATAACGAAATTAAGTCCCCTATGACATATTGGATAAACAGAGGGAGGATGGATAGGTAGCTGGATGAATGGATGGATAAACTTGAGTAAACTTCAAGTACATTAAATGATTTTCATTGACATTTTTTATTTCCAAGGAAAAGTTAAGTAACACTAACCTACATTTCAATGTATCAATATCATCTTTATATATACTGCCTGACCATTTGGCATTTCATTAAAAACACCTTAAACACACCCAGTCAAATGCCTAGCAAAACTGCATTTATTGCTTGATGTAAGGTATAGAATCTCATGTACCAAATAAAATAACTACTACATATACACTAATTGCAGGAGCTTATTTGAATTTTAAACCGACTCCATTATGTGCATTAGGCTTACGCTGTGCAGGACAGAAGGTGACATTAGCAAATCACAAAGAACAGCAATCATAATGTAACCGACACTCAGAAGGGCAGGAGCTTAATATACTTCAGCACTGCTTGCATTGCACAGTTTTAAACATTTTTAACATATTGACAGTGAACTGAATAGTTGGATTTATATACTACAATGCACAAAAATAGCTCCAATTGCAATGTGTTAGCAAAATGTATACCTGTATGCGACATCTCTACCATCTCAAATCATAATTGAAATATCACACATCCAGACAAAAAGTAGATTGACCCTGCATGCAAAAATATGATGCTCACCATCCGAGCATCTCATGGAATAATGAAAATACTAAAAACTAACAAAAATTATAGTGTTGTAAAAAGGAATATGACATAATATTTACACATATTAAGGGCACTACAGTCATTTTGTTTCATCACAAATGCATAAGGAAAGCACTTTGATATGACTTTACGCGAAACACAGCAAATCGTCTCACCATAATTTTAAGTTTGCCCAGAGATGAATTTTCTCAAATAAGTGCATTGTAACGTTCCACTGAAGTTCCTTTAGAATACAGACACAGTTAACAGTAAAATCGATACAAAATGTTTGGCCCTGACAATAACTGCAGGGTACATAAATGTCATTATTTTACTTAAATAGCTGCTGGTGTTCAGAATGTTTAATAATACATATATTAACAATCATTCATTTGATCATATACTATATATTACACAAATTCATACCAAACATTTCCACAAATCAAATATCCAAAATTAGACCCACACATCTGGACATCATTTAATTACATTCAATTGGAAACAATTACTTTACAATTTGTAAATGTAATTTTAAAATAATTTTTATGCTCAGGTTTGGACTCTTTAGGTTTTTCTCTTTTGTTCTTCATAAACCAATCACTGTAAAAATCATATATTTAAAAAAAAACAAACAAAATATCAAAAAGTGATTTACCAAATTCTATGCAACATAACTTATAAATACTTTACAATATAAATAAATTATTTACACTACCGTGTTCAAATAACATAAATCAGCCTGATTGTGTGATCCAGTTAAAGAAAAATAATGACATGTCAAATGATTTGCAAAAATTAAGACAATTCACAGTTGAATTTAATTAATTTAAAATTTTAATTAGACTAATGTATTTTATATTATGGATTTCAGCACTGCATTGTGATTGCATAAATATGCAATAATCTAGTGTTTTTTTTTTAAATGAACACAGAAACTGACCATGATACATTAGTTTTAACCATTAAATGTGTATCAAATCCAAGGTCATTTATGTGCCTTACTGAAAATGTTGTTGTTTAAAATACTGATTATATTTGCACAACTGGAAATTTAGAAATCTGTTCATAAAGTAACCCAAAAATCCAAAAAACTCTGCTTTTTGGTAATATCAATAAAATGCACTGACTACATATGATCAAATAACTGATAGCAATCCATGATTTTTAAAGCAGTTTTGTTTTAATTGAAGGCACATTCATAATTTAAAGCTTAGTATGGTTTCCCTGAACATAGTCTATTAGTGGCCTCTTTAGTACTTTTGAAAAGTTCAAGTCAAGTAAAACCTTTTTCTTTCTTGTTACTTTCAGTATCACTTGTAAAATTCCAAGTCTTCACATCAGAACAACCGAAGCAACTGAATTATACATGTTTTCTGACACAAATGTTAAAAAAAATGTATAACAGATGTGCAACACAAGTGTCATGATTCATTTCAAAACTTCTACCTTAATCCGAACCATTGCAGACTCCAGTTCTCCGTCACATAATTCCTTTCCCAATTTAACATACTGTATGGAAACGTAACATGCCTTTTAACAGGTACAGATGCAAGTATTGCTTTATGAAAGGCATACTATAGGTAATATCTATAACATGATAGGACAGTAGGCAAAGCAAAATACCGACAAGCTCAAGAAATGCTATGTCTGTTATATATTAAACAGCATGCAAGAGGGAGGAGTTATGTACAGCACAGGTGGAGCGATCCTAGGACCTGTGCCTCTTTTCTTTCTTTCCTTAGGTCAGTTTTTAGTCCAGTGCGTGAGCCGTAAATCAGCGCGCACACATATCGCTTCAAACATTATGTTAACCTGTGACGTTACCTGTATTTACGTCACCGACATATGTCAACCTGCTTGTTGTAAAACGTCACAACATCACAGATGTGATAGTAAGGCACACTAAGACCTGGCGTATGTGCTTTCAGAAAATGCCGGGATTTAAAAGACTATCGTATGTTGTGTTTATTTTGTTATTAGTAGTTAGAAATCCAAACCAGAGTTGGCCTACCAGTGCATATTCATTCACGTTGAACTCTGTTTTTTAATTTTTATATATATACTGAATGTGTTTAAACACATCCTAAAAAAAAACACAGCATTCAATACGTAACACGCATGTTAGAGGATTTTTTTTTCTAAATTTGAAACTGTCACAAGTTTTGTATGAGCTCTGGAAAATGCTCTGAAAACTGATATGTTGTAATGCTCTATAGATTGCATTCAGAGGTGGTAAATGCCAATCTGTTACATCCTCCAAGGCTTCTGTCAAGTAGATTTACTTAGCTGGTGTAATCCATATCTTTCTGTGGGTCCTCTGATCCCCTTCCAGTAGGACGATTTTTTGTTTGTTTGTTTGTTTGTTTTTTTGCTGCAGCCTTCGGGCTATCAAGTGCAATTGTTTTGGCATTGCTACTATTACGCTAGTAAGGAAAATGCATTTGCAAACGCAGAGCAGTCAGTGATTTCGGTGAAAACAATAGGAAGAATGAGATAAACATCTATCAATTAACAATTTGTCAAAAGCCCTGAATGTTTCAGATACAGATACATTCACTCATAACAGGAAATATACTACTTTCTTCAAGCTTCATTGTCCACACTGACCTGCTCTACACTATATAAATCTACGTCGAAAGGGCTGCGGTTTAGAAGGAGTCTGCAGAATGTGAGCTTGGGCTTGGGATGTGTCAGCTTGCCCGATTGGGGTCATTCTCAAAGAGGTCAAGCCCACTTCTGATCAGCGTCTCAGCAGAGTTGATGGCATTTAAAATCAGGGACAAGGACTGATTAAACTTGCTGGGACTTTGCACGTCATCGGCGTTCTTCAGGATGGAGAACTGCACGGCTCGTGCGTCCAGTCCATACAGTATGTTCCTAGATGACAGCAGAACAATGGAAAAATTAAAAGCCTATCATCATATTATACTTGGGCACATATAACCATAAAAAAAGTTTTTATTAAAAAGAACAAATTGTGCTTCTATTACAAAGTACAATGCAACACCTGGCCAATAATGTAAAAAGTTATTAGATTATTGTCAAAAAGTTATTACATTATTGGATCATAAAACTTATCAAATTATTGGCCAGTTACTACATTATTGACTTTTTTTACATTAAGAATGTATTACGTTATTGGCAGTTATTAATTATTGATAGTTATTACATTATTGGATGCTACACCATGCTATGTAAAAATTATTTTTATTAGCATTTATATATTTACCATTATATAATGATAATTGGTAGTTGTAGCCCATTACCTACTCTACATATACTCACACATCTACCTAGACAGACACACACAAAAAGTACTGAGAGATTAAATTCAGATTAAGTGATACATGGTAGAACACTTGGGTTGGACTATTTGACTAAACGCATTTTGAATATTTGATTCCTGATGCAATCACCTTGTAAAAATAAGAGGATTTTTTGGGAATTTCTTTCAGTGCAAACATGCATCGTTTATTAATATTTTTGAAAATCGGCTTCAAGGGAGAAAAGTGGAGACAAAATAAGGCAAATATTCATTCGTAATCAGCATTGCTTAGGGTTAGCAAGCAGTTATGTCCTTCAGAGTGCAGATTGACATTAAGATCCCATATTTAATTTATAGCCTGTATTTTGTTCACATTAAATGCCTCTAGCTTTCAGGTCTTTATAATAAGCAACTAAAAAAATTGGTTAGGAAGGTACCTAATTAGTTAAAGCAACTCTGGTTGAATATTACATTACAATTCAGCTGTTGCTCTTTTTTCACTGAGAGGAGGATTTCGGGCTCTATTTTGATATGTTTGAACTTGTAACCATCTGACTAGGCTGAAGTAATTCAATGTACAGGGGATCAACCAAGCCATTTAGCCTCTCTGAAGTCTGCATGTGTTAAATAATGTCACAGATTATTCTGCTGCAGACTGGTGGAACTGACGCTCCTGGTGAAATGCATGTTTGTGCTTTGACAACATCCTTAACAGCAACAGATATGAATATGATTGAGTCCATCACATTCAGAAGAATTGGCAGTTGTTTAGTCTTATATAAAAGGTGATTTAGTAACTGTAACTCTCCAGTGCTTCAGTGTTATATTTAATTTTTACAAGTTCGAAAGAATTGACTATAACACTGAGCCACATCAGAGTCGGAGACAATGAAATAGCTTATTATGTAGGACACAGTTGAGTGGTAAGGATTTCACAAATATAGTTCTAAACACCATGATTTTAACATTAAAGGTACAATTTAGCATGCTTGATGTCCTTTAGTGAAATAAAAATACAGAACTCTGAAAAATTGCTCCCCAGCTGCGTTACAGTATCTGCAGTAAGGATTGGCAGTCGTGTTTCTGAAGTGCTACGGTCCTGCAGATCTTCAAGGTCTCTCTGCTTCAGGGCTGAGCAATCTGTCAAGGGCCGCAAGGTGTGCTACTTTCATTTAATCTCAGACTCAATGATGTGACTGAAATCATTACCTGGACTATAAGTCACCTCGCCCAGCGTAAATCAATCACTAATTGAAAAGTAACCTGAACAGAAGCTAAAGTTTATTTCTAATTCAATTTTTAATGACGTATATAAATGCTTGATGTATTGGACCTAAATTATTGGGCAAAACCTGATTCTACACACACACACACACACACACACACACACAATATTACATATTCTTAATGCATCAAGCTTAATGCATCTTAATGCAAAGCTGTTATATCAAAATCCATCAAATACTTAGAAAAAAATTTTGAACTTATGTGTGACAAAATTAATTTATATTTAATTACCATTTGCCATAATTAATGTACCAGTTAACTCATTTATTACTGAAATAGTTCAGGATAACTTAAGTGTACTTGCTTAAAGGTTGCTCAAACTCAGCACCACCTTATAACTTTCAGGTTACCAGTTCGTTTCCTCAACCACTTTCCTACCTGCTACTCCATTTTCTTCAGAGTCCCAATCAAATCAAAATTCAACACATTTTATGCCTGTGAAAGCCATGTGCAAATTAAATTTTTACACACATCCAGCAGGTTCTAAATAAGCACTTCCATATCTTAATATGAAAAGGTCAGCACTGCCAGTTGTAAATTCTCACATACAGCTCCTCATTCAAAGAGACACAGCAAGAGCTTATATTTCATATAAGAACTGGCCTGCATGAAGAATCAGGATGGAACCAAATGTTGGCGTTTATATTTTTAAGGGCTTTGTATTATTTTTGTCTGTTTGTACCATATTGTCATACTGGTTTGCTTAATTTATATGTTGCCTTTTCTTGAATGTTGAAGCAAATAAAGGCTGTCTCAGTGCATGTCGATTTATAATCGCTTGCTTTATTATTTGCATCTGAAGCATTGAAACATAAAGATTTTACATCTCCTAAGAGGAAAGCCCCCATGTTTCCACGCAAAACCTGTGTCAACATGACATTTCTGATAAGGATAAAATGCCACAGATGCAAATTACTTTGATCAAAAGTTTGCATGTGAATGTCACGATAATCAGCATGCCCTTTCAGCGGGAGTCATTCACACTGACAGTTGTAATAAAATCACAACATGATCGCTCTTGCGGTCAGAGAGAGATTGCGCTTAAATCTTTAAAAAAGTTTAAGGTCTCCAAAGTGAAGCCAAGATTTGTCTGCCCATGCAGACCGCTTTAAATTAATAGAGGACTAAATGAAAATATATATCATGTAGGTGTGATACAGCACAGTTAGTTCCTGGCAGCAATATTCTGTGCCTGCCATATATTTTATTAATTATTAATGAAATATTGACATTGTAAGAAAGAAATGGTATAAAAGGAAAGGATTGTAACCACTGAATTAGTACTTCTGTGATTACTATCGGAGTTGAAAATTTGTAGTTGAAAAAGCTTAGTAAATTGTAAAATATGTCAGATTCCTCTGAAACTTGATTTTCAGTCAGATTATTTTTGTAATAACAAAAAGGAAATAATGATATTCTTGGGTACTTATTGCTGTCATTCATATTATTTCAGTCATTTTAATGTTTTTTTTATTATTTTGACATTTGATATCATCATATAGTAAATCATGGTTAGCGTTTCCTTTATCTCATATTTATTGGAATATTTACTACATAGGCAAATATGCTAATACTGACACAAAAATAATTGCTTTTGTGCGTGATGTGTGTCCGGGATTTAACTAACTGCATCGACAACCCATAACCCAGTCTCAAGCAACCTGGAAAAATGACAGTTTTCAGCTGCCTTCAGGGACAACTCCAGCACCATGGACAGCTCCCCAATTAGCACTTAGTGCCAAGACATGTCTGAAACTGCTCAAGGCACAGTTCCCTTCCTATAGGTTATGTCAGACTGGATTACCTGAAAATGGTATTGATGTGTGAAATCCTTATGCGAGCACTCTTAATGTTATATAGCCTTATCTGATATATAACAATCATCAGCTTAATCCATCAGACCCGGGTTGAACCTGATGAATTGTCTGGCAGGTCGTTAATGTCAAGTCAGCTGAAATGTAACATCTTTTTGATTTTTTGAATCATGTTAATACTGAAAACCAAGAGTTAAGAAAAAACAATGTTATTCATTCTTGAATGTTTCCATGTGATGTCCTCCATAAAAGGTAAGTTATACAGAAAATAATACCCCATTTTTCCAGGTGGAGAAGAATGGCTATAAATTCATATATTTTTATAGCAGCATGTGCTATAATTAACTGATGAATATAGTTTTAAAATGTACAGAGCCACTTATATAGATATATTTTTATTCCATATATATATCAAGCATTGTCTGAAGACACACCTCTTCAAGGAGTACCTTGGAGGCTCATACCACCTTACTGTCCACCCTCTCCATTTCGAAAAAAGCGGTAATTTGATCTTGATGACAGTCGTTGATTTTAGGTCTAGCTTATAGATCGAAGAACAGTCATGGACTACAAAGCACTGGTTGTAAGTCGCTCTGGAAAAGAGTGTCTGCTAAATGCTGTAAATGTTTATATATATATATAAGGAAATATACCTAAATTTCCCACATCTGAAATGTCAGTTTCATATTTCCATCAGTAGAGATTGCTGCTATCCAACGACATAGTACTTTGGTATACTTATAGCTTTGGTTCACTCTAAATTGAAATATGAAGTCTGGCATATTATGTGTTTGTTTCAGCCATATTTATACACAGGGATGCGCATGACTGGCATTAGCCGTACATGCAAATGAGTATTTATTTCATGTGCATTCGCGCTGTTATGACAAGAATGAAATCACTGTGCATTCTAGCCTTCATGCCGCGAAAGAAGTACAAATTAGCCACATAAAGGTTACAATGTACGGTAATTTCTTGTCACAACAGCATTTGCGCTGCTCCAACAATTTTCCAAAAATTTCCGCTTTTATCGCTTTACGCCAATTGTGTACTTGTGTGCCAGTTATGTGCAAAACAGTGGAATCAGAAATAAATGGACAAAATAATGTAAATTTCTCTAGTTCTTTGTCCTACTGGCATAATGTACTGACTTTGCTGCAGCAAGATAGTGACAGCTGTCAGGGACATACACAGTCATCCCACCGTAACAAGGTGCTTACATGCACTCAGACACAAGTGCCTGTGCTATGCAGAAGTTTCATTAAGCAGAGAACACAAAGTGTCCAAATTGAAATATCTAATATCTATTTGTAGGGCTACAAGAATGATTCCTGGTCTTAGAGGAATGTCATACGAGGAAAGGTTAGCTGAGCTGAATCTGTTCAGCCTCAAGCAAAGGAGACTAAGGGGGGACATGATCCAGGTCTATAAGATTCTAACGGGTCTGGATGCTGTTCAGCTAAATGGCTATTTCAATATTAGCTTAAATACTAGAACTCGTGGCCATAAGTGGAAATAAGCGGGAGAACATTTTAAAATGAATTTGAGAAAACACTTCTTTATACAGCGTGTAGTTAGCGTACAGAATAGTCTTCCTCCTAGTGTAGCGGAAGCTAAAACCCTAGGTTCCTTTAAATCAAAGCTAGATAAGATTTTAACATCTCTGAGCTATTAGTTAAGTTTTCCCCAAACGAGCTTGATGGGCCGAATGGCCTCCTCTCGTTTGTAAATTTCTTACGTTCTTACGTTCTAACTGATATTCTGGGCTATTGGAGATTGGGCTGGGCTGGTGGGGATTGGGCTGGTCGGGATTGGGCTGGTGGGGATTGGGCTGGGCTGGTGGGGATTGGGCTGGGCTGGTGGGGATTGGGCTGGTGGGGATTGGGCTGGGCTGGTGGGGATTGGGCTGGTGGGGATCGTTCACAAGCAGCCTGTAAAATGAGCCTGAAATAGTGAAAAGCGCACTTCAAACATTACATGGTAGTAAACTATGTGGAAATAGTGATAGAAATATGCTGGTTCTGTCCCATCCATTTTTATACAGACGAATGGAGATGATTCTAAACCCAATTATATTACACCAGTTTTTAGAACTTTCCAAGATTCCATTAATCAATAGTGCAGTAAAAGCTAGTGGTATAGTGGAGTTCCGATTCATTCAATTCATCACTTGTCATTAAACTTATAAAATTACAGGCAATAGAGGCTAAAAAGCCACCACTTGTAATTATACAAATGAAGTATGGGTGCATATGATAGAACATTACCTCAACATTAATTAGCATGTGTATTTTCAACTATGAAATGATTATCACCTGGCAGAAAAGAAAACGTGCCCAGCACATAGAAAATTAACAGCTGTGTCACGGTAGCTAGACTGTGTTTTTGATATAATACTATACAACAGGCATACAATCAATGTTATATGTATATACAATCAATGTTTAGAAGCATCTGCATGTCCCGTGCATTTGCTACTCTTACCTATAAAATCCAGGAGGAGGATTAGCGATGATAAAGCTCCTTTCGAGGTTCTGCAGTACATCATTCAGCATACGCACATGGGAGGGATCTCGCTCCTTTGGATCATTTGCCGGACGCATCATTTCCGACTGGAAGAACGCGGAGCTTTCCCTCAGAGAAGCAGCTTTCGCCAGCAGCTCATCTGCGCCCATCTTGCCATCTGCACATCCACAAACAGAGAGGGGTCTGGCATTGTAACAGACACTGCTTATGATGCTGGCATCATCTAAAAAGAGGACCGCACCACTTTGTTTGGTCTTTCTTACATGGCAAATGTTTAACAGCTAACACAATGAAATTCCATTACCACGTCTCTTCATAAACCACATGCCTACTGACTCCTGTTTAAGTTAAATACCAGAAGCAAATGTGAGTTAAGATCCTGAAGTACCTCAATCACTAGGTATAACACCTATGTCAAATTAACTAGGTCCCAAGCTATAAACTAGGGAATTCTAATGACTAAAAGAGGAAAAAATGTGAAAGTGACTAATTGTCATTGTTGACACACCACAGCGAAATGTGTCCTCTGCATTTAACCCTTATGTGACAAAATAGCGGGTTGCTATATATTTTAGCACCTGAGGAGCTGTGCACGGGGCGGTACCTTGCTCAGGGTACCTCAGTGGCACCTTGCTGGTCAGGAATTCGAACCATCAACCTTCCAATCACAATCACAGTTCCCTAATCATTAGGCCACCACTGCCCTGCAGATACAGGCATTACAGTCTGGCCCTCTTTAGTTAAAATATTTAGAATGAGCAAAGTGATTTAATGTTATATTTGACATTGTTTATTGTGTTTTAGTGCCAGAGCAGAATCAAAAGTTTATTTGTTTGCTTGTTTTTACACACGCACAGAGAGAGAGAGAGAGAGATNTTGTAATCATATCATTGTGGGGACTCTCCATTCATTTCTATGGATAAAATACTAATCCCAACATGACAACATTAACCTTAACCCTAACCTTAACCAAACTATGTAAGTGACTTCTGGCATTTTTAGTTTGTTGATTGCAGTCACAGATCTTTGTGGGAACCTGTAAAAGGGTTCCCACAATGTCAAAATAACAGGTTTTTAATCACTCTGTGGGGGATATTTGGTCCCCACACTGTAATATAAACCTAATCTACACACACACACGTACAGTGTTGGGGAAGCTACATACCACATATGATTAAAAGTAGCTAAGCTACAGCCAATCTACTGTTTTAATATAGTAGTTAGCTACACTACAGACCACAGAGAAAAAGTAGCTAACTATATCAATAAAGCAAATAAAAAATGTGAAACATGCTGTTAAAAGTAATTTGACAATCTATATTTGTTAACAATGTAATGTCAAATTACAATAAGCATTCTAAAAAGTTTTTTTTTGTTTGGTGTGAACCAAGAATACTTCACAATAGCTGTGTGAGAATTATTAGGGTTACAGCAAAAATAAGCAAAATTTTAATCATCTGTCCAAGAACCAAAGTGCTCCTAAAATATTGTTTCCGTGAAGTATTTTTCAACCCTTTAACATCCATCCCCCAAGCAAAAAACACCCATCAGAAACACCTGGTAGCTGAAAGTACCCACTGTGTAAAGAGAGAAAAAAAATGGATGTTGTTATTGAAGCACTAATCAGAAGGACATTGTAAAACAAATCGACTTAGGACCAGTTGTTCCAACTGATTGGTCTTAAGTCGATTTGGTCGTAAGTCGGTCCTTTATTTTATATGCAAAAATGATCATATGCGTAATGTACTGTATAATAAAATAACATAATATTTAAGTCATATTGTTTGGATGTTTTTTTTACCTTTTTATCACCATTTTCTTAGATCATTATTGTTACACAAACGGATACAAATGTATATTGTACTGTTAGTGCTGTGAACAGTAGCCTGAGCACAAGGTGAATGAGCATCTCGCGGGGATGTGCGTAATCCGGGCAGTCAGGCCGGAAACAGGACGGAAAATGTCGTAAGTGGACAACGAAATGTAGTATTGTTTAATGCTATTTGTAAAAACAAAAAGGTACTAGAAAAGCTACAGCTTTTTAAAACTGAATATGCCATTATTAAGCTACTGGGAAAAAGTAAAGTTAGTAGCATCAGTATTTGCAGTTAGCCAATTCCCAACACTACATATATAGTGATCTGTTTTTCTAGTTGAACCAATTCTTGAAGTGATTTAATCAGGCTAATTGTGGAAAAGAAAATCCAAGTATTCCATGTTGCTATAATGATATTTCTTTCAATACTGGTGGAAAATATATTTAAATGATAATATGAATTGCAATCATTGTGCCTGTATTGCATTGATTAGAATTTATCATGCCTCAAACATGAGTTTTTTTGAAATTGTATTATTAAAAAATTAAGACAAATTACAGGAAATGAATGGGTATCTCATGTTATGCTAATTTACTCCCATTCAAAAATTGTTAATACTTAAGAGTTTAAGTTAATTGTATAAATGCCAGCTGTATATCCTGTGGTACCAGGTAGCTTTATAATATGACTTTCAAGGAGGTGTAAATTAAATGCATTCTGCTGCATCTAACTTGCTGCATTAATCTATTCACAACCCTCTCTAATTAAAATCACTGAGCAGATAGCCTACTACAGCGATTCTTAATCCATGAGTCGTGACCCAAATTTGGGCCACCGCAAGTTCTGAAAGGGTCACAAGGCAGAGTTGTAAACATCTTACAACCAGCAAGTTCCTTTGATGATCCACGATCAGATTTACCAACCCCAGTCCTAGAATTACCCTATATAAATGAGTCTTGGGATTGCAAATGCTTAGCACAAAACTAGTGAACACTCAACCAATCCAAGAAGCCAAACCACAGATTCTTCATTTACAATACACTGGCACATCCAATCAGATTTGCGTGATAGGCATTGATTGACGTAAACAGCAGAGTGCAATGCTTGCTTGATCATAGCGTTAATTTAAACCTATACTTGATATAAGGTTGCAACTGAGCTGGAATGGTAAAAAAAAAAAAAAAGGATCGTGCTGCAAAAAAGGTTGAGAACCACTGGCATAGTATATTGTGTTAGTGTTATGTGAATCCATGCATTTTCTGTAACTTATCAAAAATATATACATATTTGCAACATGGAAACAAGCCACATAAAACATGAATCTGCAAGTAAACTAATAATATTATCTGGCCCTTCAGTACGTTTTGCAATACTGTAGCCAATATCATAATCATTACTGTAGGTTCCTTCAGGCATGATGAGACATAGCAGCCTTAACATCACATTGTTACATATTCTCTATATTCTACCTATTAGTGTATGACCACTTGAGTCTGCAGAAATGGACTGGTTTTCAGTCTAGGGTTCATTCTAAGCTGTATAGGGCAAACTTTATATTATCATAACTCTAAATTGGAAAAGCGGTGCTCGGAAACAAGTGGACGGCTGAATATTTAAGCACTGAAGCTCAGTGCATGAAAAGGATAACAATAATACAGATAAGATGAGGGAATTGCAAACCACACAGTTTGTATTAAACTTCCTTCCATTTTTTTCTACTTCCACATTTAATTCTTAGCTGCCTACAACATTGGCTGGATAAGCAGTAACAGCAAATGGAGAAATTGTTTGACAGGATTCTTAGTAACACCTAAGACTTAATTATTAAGTTCCGCAATGGTAAAACTCAGAACTCATTATACAGGCCAACATGAAAGAAGCAATGTTCCCATATGCTAAAGAACTAGAAGACATGTTACAGAGGAATATGAAGACTCCTTAGCATGAAAAATAAATGATTTGTTTTTCTTGTGATATTCTTCTTCAACAAATTAAAAAAAAAAGTTTTTCCATACTAAGGACAATGTGTTTGGACTGTAGTGATCTATCATAATTACCGAAACTTTAAATGTGTGGGAGAATAATAACAAAAACAGTGAATTGTTTTCTTGAGTTGTAAGACAGAAATACATGTAAATACAGAAAAGATGTGATGGGACATATTAGCAACTCATATATTCACTGGTGTTATTGACTGCCACTGCATTTCAAAAAAGTGCAACGTTATCATCTGTCTGTAAAAATCAGATTTCTATTCCAATTCAAAAATATCACAATAATACAACTAAATCTAGGCCTTAGTAGTCAATCATTTACCTCCTCATTTCTTCCTCAATACATTTAACTATCATGCTGTATATAATTGAGTCTCCACACAGCTATGCAGTGTTTCATTTCTAGGGAGAGAAAACCATAGACAGGTAATTATCCAAAGAATTACGATGAAAAGCAGATTGTACGTATTAATTATGTTGGAGAAACCATGACAATTTTGCCTGCCAGAATAGATTAATAATTCCAATAAAACACATACATCTTACTAGTGTTTTCTCTTTATGGGCAATAGTTACAAGTAATGCAGTAAAATGCATTTCTTTAATGAAGAGTGTCTTTTGCCATCTAGATTGAAAAGCCACATCATGGTATTTACACATTCATGACTAACGTTCACAAGCTAATGAATTATACCTAAATGAGTGTGTGCAATTTGTTTACAGGACAGACTTTAGTTAGCTATAGCATATTTGAAACGGCTATTAATAATACCTGCACCACAAACTAATGTGACCTGGATGCAGATTTCTACAATTTACTTATTACACATGAACATCATTAATAAAGACAAAAGATGACACTTTCGAATGAATATCCAACAATGAATCGTAAGTCTTCATTAGGAAATAGCAGTGAAGTTCGTCATTCAGATCACATGAGAACCGTACCCTTATGATACCGAAGCAAACAGCACACTTTGTTTTTATGAAGAAGGGCAACCTCACTGTGGGATTAGCTTTTGATCAATCATGTCAGATACACTTCTAGTTCTACCACTGATCTACAAGATCAATTCCTGCAGATCTCACTGTGAAACCTTTTGTCAAGGTCATTTGCACCATACAGATTTGAGAAACTTGTGAAGACCTGTTTTGCATCACAAGGTGCAAGACAGACACCAATATGAACACTAAGATAGGTAGAATATTATTAATTGGACATTATCACCACTTGTACAAAATACTGTCATCACTGACTACATTATTGTCCTCTGTTCCATATCCAATTATTCAATACCAAGTTGCTGTGAACCTGGAGCTTACATATTTGTTAATTGCAATTGAATTTTTAAAAAATGTAGCTACTGTCAGAGTTATATACAGAAATCATTTAAAAATATGTCACAGCTGTGCCCATTATTAGCCTCTTGAAATGAAATTAATGTTTAAAGCCAGTCAATATGTCAGTAGAGAAGCTCAAGGGATGACCTGCTACACAGTCACCCTCCAAATGGAATGAAGGCCGAGTCTCTATTGAACTCATTTTAAATCCCCAATGGGAAGAAGAGGAGAAACAAAGACCCAGTCTGATATTTTAAATAACACCATGATGGGCCAATCAATATTTTACTTGAAACCATGATCTTTCGTGATCTCCTTAATTAATCTTGGATGGTGTACCTGTTAGTAAGCCTTTACAACTACTTCTGTTTGACTATATCGTAATGCCATAGTTGAGAAACATACTGGATGGGCCTGTTATTTCCAATCAATGCAAATGCAACTCGTGATTCCTGAAGTTGTATTAAGCATAATAACCTTACTGCATCCATTTGTTTCTTGAAATTGAGGGCATAGTGTATTTTACATTTCTCATTTCTTGGTAGCTTAATCAAGGGGCAAAATAAGGATAAGTGGTTACAGAAGATGGATGGATGGATGGATGGATGGATGGATGAATGGAAGGAATTATTTGGGGAAAGAAGAAAATACTTATAATTTAATGCTATTAAAATCTATTAAAAAAAATGGGATATACTGACTTTCAAAGCCAACCCTTAGTCTAGCAGTATTTTTCTTGTAAAAATCTTCTGCTCATCAAACAATAAATACACAGTACTTATCCTTTGTTGCGAATGATGATAAATAATTCAACACATAATTTACTTCACCATTAAATGCATATATTAGTTATACCTTCACCTTGCTTGCTACTTATAATGATTTTCACACCATATTTTTAAATCTGGAAGATGAGCAGGGGTTGAAGAAAGAAAGAAAAAAACCCTCTTACCATTAAGCTTGTTTTGAACATCCAAGGCAACATCCAAGGGATAAAATGGAAGCACGGGATCAGACACTAAGTGCAGAATGGTTTCTCCAGTAGCCTGTATGGATCAAAAAAAGATCAGTCAGTTTCAACACATTAACCTACACGACCTTAACTCAGGCACCTGAAATTTTTATGGAATAGTATATATTTCAGCTAAATAATGACTGAAAAATCCCAATCTAATCATGTCCGGAGTCATCAACAGTTGAATTTTTGCTGTACTTTGTCTGAACCCATCGGAACTACCTCTCCTCTGATCCTTACATGAGTTTAAGGGTTTATCCTTGTACAGGGAATTCCTGCCTGAGAATCATTTCATAGCAGCTGTACATACTTCACATGCAGTAGATGAGAGGAGATGGCATTTTAAAGTACAAGGTGTTATTGACTTTGTTTTAGATTCCACTGACATCTTCATAGATATTGGGACTGTAAATTGATGACACCATGGCAGTGGGCCAGTGTTCCACATGATAAAGGTCAGAGTGCATATTCTGCCCACTGTTTCATCACTGTTTGGATCAAGATGAGGTCCACTGAAGTCAGAAGTCCACTGAAAAATCAGAAGGCTATCAATTGAAGTACCAAGTAAACTGTCCTATGTTTTTCAGAGGTTTCATGAATCACATTTTCACACGATATTATTTTTATACACTTGCATAGAACTATAGTGCTCCCTCTATATATGTGGTTTCAGTAAGTTTCAGTAACTGCGATTATCCAGTTTACCACAGTGATCAAAAAATTGTAATGTGTAACAATATGTTTTTTCATTGTTCCTTCATCCTTTGAGGGATATAAAAGGCATAATTTTCATTGTTCCATCATCACTTGATACATGATACACTGTAATGGACAAAAGTATTAGGACACACATCTTAATTGTTCAGGTGTTTCATTCGGACCCATTGCCACAGGTGTATAAAATCAAGCACCTAACTTTGCAGGAGAATGTTACCTGTCTGGCTGCATTGTACCAACTGTAAAGATTGGTGATGGAGAGATAATGGTGTAGGGTTATTTTTCAGGGGTTGGGCCAGGATCCTTCCAGTAAAATACCAGTTCCAGTGAAGGGAACTCAATGCTTCTGCATACCAAGATATTTTCGACGACTATTTGTGGGAACAGTTTGGGGAATAGATCACTTTGCTGTTCCAGCATGACTGTGCCCTAGTGCTTGACTGGCACTGACCTCAACTCAATCGAACACCTTTGGGATGAACTAGTATGGAGACTGCGAGCCAGACCTTCCTGGCCTCACAAATGCTCTTCTGGGTGACTGGGCAAAAACTCCCACAGACACACTCCACAATCTTGTGGAAAGCCTCCCCAGAAGAGTGGCAGCTGTTATAGCTGCAAAGGGGGACCAACTCCACATTGTTGCCTATGGATTTGGAATGGATGTCATAAAAGTTACTGTAGGTGTAATGGCCATATGTCCCAATACTTTTGTCCATATAGTGTATTTTGTTCTCTTGAGAATTTGGTTAAAATGTCAGAATCCATTTCAGAGTACAGTACAGTACTGCAAAATAATGTACAATATACTTTATTATTAGTGAATTTTATGTTGATGATGTCTTAATGTGCGTAATTTTTCATCATAATTGCCATATGCAAGGACACAAAAATCACGTTATATTTTAGTTCCACAGATGGTTCGCTATTATCTGTGATTTCGGCTATGCGTGGTAGGTCTTGGAACATATCACCTGCGGATATGGGGAACTACTGTATGTACTGTAGCTATCTACCGAAGTCTATTTAAATAGAAATTAAAATGACTAAGTATTACATTTTGCAAATCTGGTGTTTCCTATTACATTGTTTCTCTACCCATTACTCTCTACTTCTCTCTTTAGCACAAACACCCACATAGCAGATCATCATCTGTGAAGGTCACCCCCGCACAAGTAGCTTATGCTGTACTACAAAAGTCGGCAACAAAAACAAAAACTTACACCATTGTCTCACACAGCATAGGCATCTAACTTCGCCCCCATAGGATTTGTAATGATATAATACTGCAGTATTCTTAAGTCAAGTTCAGCAATTGTGAAATCAGTCACAGTGGGAAAAGATTAGATCATTGATTTGGGCAGAGTGAGTAAGTGTGCTGCAGAAATATACATCACGCCTGTATAATTCACCAAGACAGAAAAGGCCACAGAACCCTTATTTATAAGCCTATTTTAGGGTTTACTCTTCACTGGAAAGATGGCAAGAATGTGCTGTGAAGCAGATATAAACATAAAATACAAGCTAAAGTCATTATTCTACTTATTTTTATTTATAAGAAGAATAGACATACTTGAAAAGGAATCTGAATTTGTTTAAACTGTATTAGTAAAGATAAATAAGGAAATAAAAACTGGAATATTACATTATATTTTAATTGTTTTCATGCTAATGGAAACAATTAATAATGTGAAAACAAGTTTATCTAAAGCAAAATTAACATTCAGAGTGTATCTAAAAATGTTTATATTATCAATAAATCATATGTACATAAATAATTAATGGTGCAGATATCTTAAAATGTTTTCAAGGCTACTTGAAGTGTCATTAAATGAAATGTCTTTAAGTTCCTCTGAGATATAAAAAAGTAACTGGTAACATCCATTAGTGCATCCAGCTCCTAACCACTTATCTGGGAAAGGGTTGCATAGGGCCAGAGTCCGATGGCCAGCAGGACAGGGCACAAGTATGTACTGGATGGAATGCCAACCTATTGCAGGGCACAAATACACTAGGGCGAGTTAGTTTAACTGTATGTCATTAAACTGCAAGAGAAAACTGGATTAGCCAGAGGAAAACCATGTAGCAGGGAGAACATGCAGAAACCACAGTCACACATGGCAAGGAGCAGAATCCAAGCCCCCAACCCTGCAGATGTAAGACAACGGTGCTGTCACATATTTTGTCCCCAATATTTTGACAAAGAGCTTACACAAGAATTTTATTTCTCCATTCACAAATATTCACTAATGTTTGTTGTTCAGATATTAACGATATTCAGATTAAAGTGTGGTAACCACCTAATCCATATCAGAAGGGGCATTGCAAGCTACTTCAGGTTTTACAAACTACTTTAGAACTGAATGGCTCCTGTGCTCGGCTAAATTGTTTGGTTCGCTTGTACTTTTACTGGTTAGCTTCCTTGATTGAAAAACTCATCCAGCTGTTTCACATTAACATTAGTAACACATGCATGGTTATAGGAGACTGACCAATCAGCACACAGCAAAAACTCAGTGCTAAAGTGAAATCCGGGTCCTTTTAATTGAAATAGTTAAAATGGTAGTTTATAAACGCTGTCATAGCTCATAATGTCCCTCCTGACATGGATTAAGTGGTCACCTGAGATTTAAGTGTTGAGATAATCAGTTTTTCTTTTTATTAAAATAAATAACTAAATAAATAAATAAATAAGTGCTGATTTTCTACACTACTAACGAGCTTTTCCCCTTTGCTATGCAGCATTATATTTTATTTATTATTAGTTTGTATTTAAAACCATACTTGCTTTGTCCTCTAGAACTGCTTTAATTTCTCTGCCCACGCTGAATGTCATAGCCTGTATTTGGGTGAGAGGATGACAGCCCCTCTAGACTGCGGGCTTTTAAATCTTGGTCGCCTTCTTTTCCAGGACGCGCTGGAGCATCATGGGAGTGTGCTGAGAATACATTTGTTCGAGGGCTGTGGAAGCGACAGAGTAGAGGCATCCAGTATTTATTGACAGTAGAGGGCTCTCTTGGAGAAGCCCAACGTGGTGACAGTAGGGACATACTAATTCACAGCTGGCGGTCCCATCCCAGCTAGAGGAAGAAAAATCTTGCTTGACCATGGCACATTTTGTACAAATGAGATATTTCTTTTTTGAATTGTTCCACTTAGATCTTTCATGGGGTTAGAATCAAAAGTATGGTCAGTAACAGAAAAACCATTTGTAGCCATGCTTGTAAGAATTATTTAAAAGGGATTTCGGACATCCTGTCGAATATATCCATAAAAAAAAAACTCTTTGAAGCTGTCTTACAAGTAGTCTAGCTGGCATTGGGTAGGTCAGGATCTGCTTGATATTCATTGGCTTCTCTAAAATATATAGTTGACAACTGATCTGCAGATTATTGTAGCACGTCCACTTTCCTGAGAAAAATATCACTAGGGCAGGCAAGAAAGATTGACTCAAGTTCATCCCTTCAAGTGTTATGGGTAACATGAAAGAACAGAATACTCCACAGCTGACTATATTTCTTATTGAGTTAAATCAAAAGATAAGCCTAACCAGTAACTGGAAGTCTAAAGGCAGGGAATTCCATATGTCTCTCAAATACAAAGAACATAATATATATAGGAGTTTTCAAGAGATATGACTGTAAGATTTCCTAATATGAGAAGGAAATTATTCCAATTATTGTAATTGAAGGAAAAAATTGAGTTTTGAAAATATTAGGGCTCATATTATTATTGTTATCATTATTATTATTAACATCCAGCAGTGCCATCTTGTTAGCTCGTCAAAAATGTGTGGACGTTTGAATCAAAAAATGTGAAAATCTGCAAAATTCATTGCCCGCCCTAAGGACAGTTTGGAAGGACTATTTTAATGTCTTCATAACATAATGTGAAACTGATGTAAAAGGTAACCCTGAAATTTCTTAAATACAGCAAATTCTCATTGACCATGCAAAATTGCTTCTGGAAACCCTTTTGATGTACTGTGAAATACCTCACATTGATTTGCTGCTAACCAGCTTCCTTGTCAACTTGTACAGAAACATCGTGTCTCTTCAATCACAAACACTGTCTTCTATGCTTACTGTATGGTATTTTTATGAGACCCTCCTCTTCTAAATTTCATGTTCATTCTCCTTATACATTCTCCTCTCCGTAACTACCATTACTGGTGGAATGAGTTGGTACCTATCATTAGATCTGCATTAAGTCCTGGCAGAAACTCAAGACCCATTTTTTCTCATTATACACTGTTTTTCAAGTAAACTCGCAAATTTTCTAAAGGTCTAAGGTCCTCGCTCAGACTAGGCTATTGCA